GAAAAGGTGGAGGAGGGGGATCATATGTCCTCTTTAATGTGAGGCTCTAGAGAGCAGCATATCAATCTGGACCACTGTAATCCTGAAATACACCTGGAGCTCTTTTCAACAGGTCAAAACTCTCCTTTTTATACATTTAGTGAAAGAGCATAAATGAACTTATCAGGTTGATCCTCTGCATGATGAGCATGAGACATTCTGTCTGATATGCAAATTAATGGAAAATAAACACAGCGGACTCAGTGTGCAAGGTGTCTGTGCGTAAAGTTTTTTTAATGGAGCTGAAAAAAATGGCCTCTGTACAAAGGCCTTTACACCCACTTTTTTTTTTATCATACTTGTCACATAATGAGACAGTTACATTTTTTCAATCTACAAGCAGTGTCTAACTTCCCCAACAGAGAAAAGAAAAGTGGAATAACACAACAAAGCTAAAATTCTCCCTTCTTTCTGATTCATCATTAATGTGTGTTGTGTTCACTGCGTAGGAGGATCCTGAAGAAGGTGTCGCTTACGCCTCCGTCAGCTACACCAAGAATTGTAACAGCAAAGTCAAGGTAAGCGCTCTGATTGGACACACAACTGTTCATTTATATCGAGCTGTCGAGACATTTTAAGCTTGGGGGTGAAAGGTCACAGGGGAGGGATAATAACTTGTTCCCAAAATATATTCATCCTGTTCCCACAACATAATGATATTGTGCACACAAGGTTAATAACTAGTTCCCAAAATATGAATATCTTGTCTGACAAAAAAACAACTTCTGGGGAGATGGTGGCCTAGCGGTTAGGTCGTGCCCCATGTACGGAGGCTTTAGTCCAGGTTCAAGTCTGACCTGCGGCTCCTTTCCTGCATGTCTTCTCCACTCTCTCTCCACAAGTTCCTACTCTATCCACTGTCCTATCAGATGAAGGCTAAAAACTCAATAAATAAATCTTAATAAAAAAGAAACCTGTGACTGAAAGATGAATATCATGTGTGCCAAAGATAAAACCTTGTATCTACAAAATTATTGATTTATGCCCACAAGATAGTCGTTCCCAAAAGACTAGTATCTTAACTTGTTCCCTCAGGATGTGTTAATGTGTGTACAAGATAAATAACTGTTTGCTCATTTGGATCCATTACTGATTTATAAAGAAACTCTATATTTAGGGTGCATGCATGTTTTAAACCACGTTATGAGTTTGTTATTGTAAAGTGCTTTTTGTGTTTTGTTGGCCTCAGGATCCTGCTTGTTTGTTGCTTGCATCTTAATTTCAATGTGTTGAAATATGCTGAGTCATGTCCTGTTCTGATATGTTTCCTGCTGATTCTCGTATCCATAAGGCTGATGATGACGATGAAGGTGAAGCTGTGACGTACAGCACTGTGAGAGTTTCTTCCCCTGATGCTGAAGCCTCCGTTGATCCCAGCTCCGCTGTTTTTATCAGCTCAGAAATATTTCTAAAATGTTTTAGATTTTAACTGTTAAAGACACAGAGACGATTTTACATGCTTTTATCTCATCACGTCTTGACTTTTGTAAAAGCCTTTTTACTTACCTTAACAAACAAAATCTATCCATGGACTGCAGTTGGTACAGAACTCAGCTGCCAGACTTTTAACTAGAACCAGAAAGCATGAGCACATCACTCCTGTTTTAGCATCTCTACACTGGCTCCCTGTGTGTTTTAGAATTGATTTTAAGATTTTACTGATTACTTTTAAAGCTCTCTATGGCCTTTCCCCCAGCTGTTTATCAGACCTTTTACTTCCTTACAAACCCACGCAGCATATTGAGATCCTCGGGCTGAGGTCTCCTGGTGGTTCCAAATGCAAAATTAAAAACAAAAGGGGATAGAGTATCGACCTGCCCGAGGAGATCAGGTCGGCAGAATCACTCTTTTCTTCCTTTAAAAGAATTGTATTCAGTTCTTTTAAAAAAGGATTTTATATTTTAAAGTGATTTTTATTCCTTAATCTTTCCTTGTTTATTATTCTATGACCTGCCTGTTTTTATATTTGCTGTCCTTGTAAAGCACTTTGTAACTTGTTTTTGAAAAGTGCTCTATAAATAAAGATGATTGTTCTTATTATTATTATTATTATTATTTTCATGTATTCATTCACCTTGGAGACTTTTGTGGATATGTTAGTAGTGTTGCAGTGATTGAAATCGGTCTTAGTCTCAAGACCCGTCTCGTACCAGACCACTTTTTGAAGGTCTCGCTATCGTCTCTGAATCTAAAGCATTTTTACCCGCTCTTGTCTCGGCCTCAGACCGGGTGGACTCCAGATTTTAAACCAAGACTACCAATGATCTGCAAGAGAAACTGTAACAAGATAATCTCCTCCTGGGATTAATCAAGTACTTCTGATTCTGTGCGACTGATATGTTTGAATGATTTAGAACTTCATTGTTCTTCTGTGTATTACTTTTATACAGAGACATTCAATCTTTATGTTTAAGGTCTTGTTAGATTTTTTTCTTTATCTTATTAAAAGGTTTCTGTTTTCATTTCTATTCATCAACTAAAATCTCCTCACAGGAGGACAAGAAGCTCTGATCTTCTGTGTTGAAGAGGAGTCAAAGGCGCAGTACAAATTGTAACAAGAGTCAGAGATAATAATAATAATAATGCTGATAATACTACATTATATTTTTGTAGCGCTTTTTAAAACACTTAAAGACACTTTACAGATTTACATTCAGACAAAAACAAGCTGAGGAAACACAAAAAATAAAACAATGTCCCAGGTTGTTTGAAGGTCAGGAGGACTTTGAACTCGATTTGTTGGGGAAACGGGAGCCAGTGGAGGTTGTGGTGGCCAGAGGTAATGTGGTCACAGGAGCGGGAGTGTGTGAGCAAACTGACAAGTTGTGAAGTGTATTGAGGACTTTGGATGATAACCATAGAGAAGGCTATTACATTAATCAATCCTGATGCTCAGCGTTCATTGAGCCCAGGAGGTTTTGTCCCGGCACCAGAGGCCGGGCTCTCCAGTAGACGGAGCACCTCCAACCTTCAGCGAGGTGATCTGGCACTACCACCACCCGACGTCCCTGACGCCCAGTGTTAGGCCGCTACACAAACCCACCGCTAAATGCTATCCTAGCGCCTGACGCTAAGGCCAGTGAGCCCGTAACTTAATGCCTCTCCTTACGTGTTGCGTAAACGTGAAGGTGTATCCTGCCTTACCTGAGTGTGTGTGCAGTCTGTTTGATGTGCGTGTAGGTGACTCACCTCTAAGATCCTCGGTGCGCGACCAGCTCACTCGGACAGCCCGATCCACGGAGTCACTTGGGGTACGATCTCCTCCCCCAGCCCTCTCTTCATATCAGTTTAGTTCATGTGTAAAAAGAACCCGTGAAGTGTTGAAACAAAAACAAACGTTACTTCAGGTTCAGTCTCTCAGGTGTCTACGTCCTCGCGTCTTCCTCGTGGCATCTCTTTGACTCCAAACCAATTTCCGCCGGCTCCTCTCCAGGTGCTGCTAATGAAGATTACAGAGACAGAGCCACCACACCCCCCTCAGGTGTGTCATCAGTACTGACCCTGCTTTCCTCCTACCAACCACGCCTACCGCTAAAGACCCTGAAGTGAATCCTCCTAACACATTATCATAACACCCAGCCTCCACCATCGGATTGTTTCATCCCCACAACCTCCGCCGTCCTCATTCATGCACGGCCTGCTCCGACCTCCACCTCAGCGGAGAGGAAGTGAGAACAACAGGAACGAGAGGAACACAAAGAAATCATTCCTGCATCTCATCCCCTCTCCCCATCCCATTTTTCTTAACAATGAAGAATATTTTAACTGCTTTTTGTAAAGCGCCTCAAGATAAAACTTGATATGATTTTGGCACTATACAAATAATGATTGATAGATTTGAAGGAGCCTTCCAAATGGAACAGCCCTCGATGCCCCGCTGTGATGTTATCAGTCTTCAAATGCGCCCTCAGAAGGATGCAGCCCTTTAAATGTTACATAGCTCATGTACCAACACTGTACCAACTCTGAAACCTTTTCTCATGAGTTCTCACAAAGAAAAAAAAACGAGTCGCAATGAGGAACAAACGTTTCTCAAACCGCTAAAGATATCACCCCTCCCATTGGTCACCATACAGCGCCATGAGCCGGAGGTGTCACATCCGTGTTGGGCAATGATTTTTATGTTTATTACACTGTGAAGACTCTTACATTTTGTCCTTTAAGGGTTTTCTTAACGTACGATCAGGCCGAGTCACAGCTGCCCTGTTTTCCAGAGTTCAAGAGAGAATAACAAGATGAGGGGAAAAAAAGATTGAAGTTACTCAGAGGAAGTAAAAAAAGAGAAGTTGAAGCTGTAACTCTCTCTCAAGAGTGTTTGAGAGTAAAGGGTGTGTGAACGAGAGAGAGCACGAAGTGAGATCCGTCACTTCAGAAGGATTAAAATGTCTTTATCTGTGATACTGATGCTTCTGTTTACAGGTAAGAATTTACTAAAAAAACACATCCACCAATAAGATGCACTGCAGATGTTTTTAACCTATTTAAATGGATGACATCGAGTTCAGTCAGATACCTAAGTTTACTCTCTCTTTTTGCTTCTTCTTACAAAACTATTAACAATTAACAAATACAAATGACTATTTATTGATTTTATATTTCTCTTTGATCTTCATCAGCTGTAACTGGAGATGATACCGCCTCCCTCACAGTCAGACTTGGACATGATGTCACTTTGCCATGTAGAAATGTGATTAAAGATCAGCAGAAATGTGACAGTACTTCTTGGCTTTTCAGTCGTTATATTGGGAGCACAGCAGTAGAGCTGGTTACACTCGGGAATATAAGTAAAAATGAGAAAGCTAAAGCTAAAGCTAAGAGGCTAAATGTTACAGAGGATTGTTCTCTGGTTATTAAAAGTGTCACACATGACGATGTTGGTCGTTACACCTGCAGACAGATCAGATCAGGAGAACAAGTTTCAGAAGCTCGTGTGTTGCTGAATGTTATTAACAGTAAGTGTTGATATGAAATTTTCATCTCAGATTCTCTTGTTGAAACATTATCCTGAAACATTGGAATAAGTCTATAAAAAGTGTGGAAGTTAAACTTACTCTTGTGTTCTCTCTCTCACAATATCTTCACCAGATACCTCGGACGATGCCTCCAGGTTTTACTGCTCTGTGTTCAGATTTGGAGTCTGTGCCCACACAGTGCAGTGGTATTATAAGGGTGATGAGACAGATATATCAGAACACCAACAGGTCGACTGTACAGCTATTGTGTCATTTAAAACTCCTCATGTTGTTCAGAAGTCAAACTTTAATGAGTTGCTGTATTGTAAAGTAACAGACAATAAGAGTGGACAAACACTGCTGTGTAATGTCTTCTCTAAGTCCTCCTGTGAGAAAACAGGTACGTCTGGTTTTACTTGATTCATTATGTAGTTAAAGTGCTGAACTCTGTTTTATCATCATGTCTTCTGTTTTGTTTATTTATATCACATTCAAAAGACACAACAGGAAGCACATCAGCAGGAGGAGATGAAATGAAAGAGGCGACAAACCAAGTAAAAAAATAAGATTTCTTTAAGACTTTCTTTCTCATTGTGAAGTCTAACATGTGAAACATCTAGATAATCGTCTTTAATCCACATACAGTATGAGTGGAATATATTTGAGTCTATAGAAACCAAGCAGCAACCTCCAGTCAATGCGGAAGTGCAAAATCCTGCAAGAGTCCACTTGAGGCTGGCTGCAGGAACACCTGAAGTCACATACACACAACAGACAAAAACAGCAGTTTTTACAGAAGAAATCAACATGTTTACAGACAAAAAAAACTAAAATATGTCTGATTAGTTATTGTTATCACTGGCACACACTGTACGAGGGGTGTATCTTTTTAAGACGACTCTGTTTGATTTTATGAAAGATATGCGTTATCCATAGTTAGGGGCGTAGCTGACGTGATTGACAGGTGGGCGTGGTGTTGTGTTCATCAAGAGGTTTAAAACCCGCCTCAGCTCCAGCTCTCAGCCTGTCGTTAGGTTGACTGAAAGTTAGACTGAGACAGCATTTCCAACATGGCGGCTGCTGCCGATGAGCCTCTAGAGCCCCCTGCAGGAACAGATGGGTGATGTCACTCAGGCTTCATCCATTAATATTTACAGTCTATGATAGAAACTATCAAACCACTGCTTGTTACAGAGACTTCTATAAATATGTAACTTTTCACATGTAAGCTACACTTCAAAAATACTTCGATGTTTTATCCTCCTTTCAGATTGGTTGCCATATGTGATTGTAGCCGCTGGTTTAGCAGCCTTCTTAATCATCTTAATAGTTGTTGTGGCATTCATCAGACGGAAGAGAACTAAAGGTGAGAGCGTTTACAGATACAACTGTTATACATGCAGTCACTTTCATCAACCTGCAATTCACTGTCTTCTCTCTTTTGACTTTTCAGGCAACAAAACACAGACGGACAAAAACATTGTGAGTTATAACCTTAATGATCAAATGTTTAACAGAGATTTAAACATATTTTTAACATTAGTCCCGCCTCTGACAGGGAAAATAACCAATCATAGATTAAGAGTTTTTGTTGTCTTCACTGTGTAGGCGGAGCATGAAGATATTGTTGCCTACGCCTCCATCAGCTACACCAAGAAGGGCAACAGTAGAGCTCAGGTAAGCTCACTGATTGGTTTACACCATAACTAGACTTTACACAACATCCTGTAGCATGCTATTAAAGCACACTCAAAATAAAAGTGTTGACATACTGATAAGTGCGTCATAAGTGCTATTCAAATTTAACATCGGCAGCATGCTCACATACAGTCAGGGCTGTGTCCAGAGGGGGGGTCAGGGTTGGTTAAACTTTGATTGGCTCTGTCCTAAGTCACATATAGTGTGCTAATTAGCTCTGAACACAAAGTGCAGCTAAGACTGCTGGGAAAGTTTGATGCCAGATGTTATCTTGTGTTCATTTGCAACACGAGATAACAGGATGCAAGTTAACTAGTTTCCACAGAAATAATTCTCCTGTCAGACAAGATGATCAACAAGATAAAAAAATGATCCCTTTGGTGGACTTTCTGTGTTTTGAAGGCTGATGGAGATAAAGAAGGTGAAGGTGTGACGTACAGCACTGTGAAAGTCCCCTCCTCTGACACTGAAGCCTCTGTTGACCCCAGCAGCCTGTACGCCACCGTCAACAAACCAAACAAGAGAGAGACAACAGGATAGTTACAGCTCATGTCACTAATCTTGATAGACCAATGAATGTGACTCCTCCCTCCTGCAGCTCTTACATGTGTCTTTAATTTAATCTTCATTACTCTCTCATTGTGTTTTGTGCATTTTGTGGATACTTTCTCAGAGTTCTTGCAGAGTTTCTACACACATATGAACATCAAATAGATGTGTGAAATAAAAGAGGTGGCTGGAGAGGATGAGAGGAAGTGGTTTGTGACATCCGTTATCGACACTGAAGTTAAAAAAAGAGTCACACTAAACTGAAAACTGAGAAAACCACAATGGATTTATGTTTCATTTACTTCTGTGGGAAATTTAAAGCCACCTTTTGAACGAGGTCTTCAACACTGGACTCATTTCAAGCAAAGTGTAACAGACGGAAGTATCCCGCCATTAAAACGCCCTCTGACTTCTTCATACAGCTACAACAGAAAGAAATGATGACCTGCTTTACGAACACATTAACCCCAATGGGTGATTATTAATATCTTATCTTTAGGTTGGATACACACTAGACAATTATAGGACCGATTCAACACCCACAGACCCACGCACAACAGAAAATGTGTGCTCAAACAGGCCGTTTGGAGATGTTCCCTTCATGACATCACAAAGGGCAGTAGCCCCTCCCCCAGGTGGGTGACACTCCCACAGCTAGGTGTTTGTTCTGCCCTCTGAGTCTGCCTTCTCACCATAAACAATAGGACATGGAGCGAGAAAGCACCGAGTACACTCAAGCCCTTCCAGAGAGGGGGCGTGGTCAGACACAGCTCATTTACATATTTAAAGGTACAGACACAGAAACAGCCTGTTCTGAGCAGGGCTGAAATAGAGGGGTTTATAGACATGATCAAATACAGGATCAGAGTGGATTTAGAACAAGAAACTTCACATACATGTTTTGAGGAGCTCTGAGACTTATTTACACTGAAGAGGAGGAGGAGGATATGTGATCTTTAAAGCAAATAAATAATGATCTTGAAGTGTTTCTCGTATTTTTTAGGTGATTCTTTTTGACGCCTGTTAAAACATAATTTTACTGGTTTTGTAGATTTTAAGGTTTATTTAAAAGGAAGCGCAAACCACTGGCCTCTCAGGTCTTGCATAGAAATCTATTCCCAGCTCATGTCACAACGTTGACTTGTTGGTGACTCCTCTGACATGTGGTTTTAAGTGTAAGTAAGTAAATGTCCTCAGCGATCATGATAACTGTGACGGTACGACATGGAGCTTCAGTCAGTTGGCTGACTGAAGGATGAGCGGATTATTAAACGTACAGACAAACCAGACAGACTAAGAATCACAGCAAACTGTTCTCTGGTGATGACGAACGCCACAAAGGAGGATTTTGGTCGATACTTCTGCATTCAGGAAAAACTGGGACAACGACAAGACGGAGAAGCTGTGGTTGATATCGTCCCCGATGTCAAAATCCCCGTCGGACTCGCTTTATCTCCCCGTTTCAGTAACATTGAAGTCATCCTGTGTCTTTCAACGATACAACTTCCCTATCTAAACAAAACTTTCTGATCCTAGCTGTCTCTCTTACTCTCTCTCGTAAATAAACCGAAATGAACACAGCGCCCCCTACAGGCCTGGAGCACATCCGTTTAAGAATTAACTTGCAGCGTTTCTGTGTTTGCAGTTGTTTTCTGGTTGTGTGTGTTTTGACTTAAGTTTTGTTTCTGTACTTGCAGCGCGTTTGATGCTTATGCAGTTGTTTTGCCTATTTGCAGCTGGTTTGTGTCTTGCAGTGCGTTTCAGTCTTTGCATTTGTTGTGGTAGTTTGCATTTTGAATGTGCAGCGTT